GTGACTCTTCAACCTTACGTATTACAGCAGTAGTTTGGGATACCTTTTATTTAACATGTTCGATATGGATATTCCATGTTAAATGTTATATAAATCATAACACTTAAAAAATGAATTTTATTAGTCTTTTCAATCTCTGTTTCCTGCACAGTCAATGTTGCCTTCACATCAACAATCCTGTCACTAAAAATCAATATTTAGATTTGCAATAAATTAAAGACAATCTGTTTGCGTGGAACCACTTCAGAGATTTCAGAAACTCATTCTCCACGACTTGTGGTACATCATTAATATTTTCCCAAACATAAAATAGAGTGGTATCATCTACAAATACAATCCATTTCAACAATTTAGAAACTGTTCCAATGTCATTGACATAAAGAAGGAAAAGTACTGGTCTCAGAACCTTTCTTTGAGGTACCCCACAAGTTATATTGCAGTATTTGGATTGTTTGTTGTTGATATCAACAAATAACACTTGACCCATTCATGAGCACCACCTCTTATACCATATTTATATAATTTGCTCAGTAATATTTCATGGTCTATAATGGAAGTGATTATTGAATTAGTGAAAACAAGAGTTACAGGTTTGGATTTTGCAATTGAAGGAATTGAATTAAACTTTAAGTCTTTGTTAACACAGAAAGCAACTGCACTCCATGTCAGTCTTTTGGCAGGAAATCCCCACAAGAGTAATTTCCTCTTCCAACTCTCTCTCTCACACACACACACACACACACCCACACACACACACACACACACCCACACACACACACACACACACGCACGCACGCACACACACACACAGGGTAGAGAAGTGAATGGGGAGGTGTGTGCACTCTCGTAAAGACTACAATTATAAAGTATATTAAAAGGAAAGCAGTAGTGAAGCTGCTCTACACAAGTGCTGTACTCTAGTCAGCTGTTTTTGGGTATCAGCATTTGCATTTTTGTAGCTTCAGTAGGTGGGTCTATTCCAAACATGACACTGTTTGTGTGTTGAAAAAAATGTGACGGACAAAACAAATGTAATGAATGTATAAAAGAAGAAAGTCAGTTCACAAAACTTGGATCAGCAGCAATTGGAAACCTTTATTAAACCATTGGCCTGTAAATGCCCCAATTTTGTCACGATGATTCATTTGATGTTGGAATTAGTTCAGGAGTCATGGCATCATCCTGCTAAATAAACAAACAGACGGCAAAGAAAACTTGTATGTACACTGAATCGGGTGACTATCAACACACTCCAGAAAAAAAAGAGTAAAAGATCACACAAAATCTTAAATTTAACCATATCTGATTTCTGATTAAGTGCCTTTATGCAATTTTTTTTTCCCAGTGAAAAAATAAATACCATACATTTGGAAATAAAACACACATCTCCACACCCTCACCACTGTCCGAGAAGGTGCATGTGAGTTGGCCCAAACAGTCTACACATAAACTTGAAGGACTTGGAGAAAAGCATTTGACATGTCCTTCAAGGAGATATTTACAAGCCTTTTTTTTCTTTTGAGGCACATTTCTATCTATTGCTGTTGGTGTTAGATTTTGATTTGCTGTTGCTATGGCAATAGCAGCAATGTAGCAGTGATCAGACGAACGAGGGAAGAAATGCAAGTGGTGGAGTCAGGCAAACCCAACCATAAAAACTGTAACAACCAAGTGAATCTTTTGTTGTCTATTTCTGAAAATGTGAACAAGCAGTACTGCATTTTAATAACACGCCCCTGTCTTTCATAGTCTGCAGTATACGATAAGTGTACTTTACTGATTTTAGAGTAAAAGTTGTAATTCTGAGTTGTTCCATTACACTGAGATAAACTGAACTGCATCCTTAGAAAACAAGCCCGCCCCCAAAAAAAAAAACAATTCAAGATTTTTGTTTTACCGTACTTTTGAGACTATAGGCCAGGGGTCCCCAACCTTTTTTGCCCCACGGACCGGTTTAAGTCAGACAATATTTTCAGGGACCGGCATTTAAGGTGTGGCGGAATTAATACAACAAAATAATATGGTATGAGCTGCATGAAAACTGTGGTGTTTTCGAAATATAATAATAAACACAAGGAGCGTCTAATCTGGTCGCAACACTCTTATCGCTCTGGTAATGTTTAATGCCTTCAAAATACGATACAACGCAAATTCAAAGTGCATGAAAATGACGACTCACCACAGCCCCGAGCTTGATTTTCTGCAATCAGACAGTCCCATCTCGGGGTAATAGGAGACAATGACACCTCAAGTGTGTGGTTTATGTCCAGTCTACTTCGTAATTTTGTTTTTGTCGCCGTTGCTGCAGAAACCCCCCCGACTCACACAGGTAGGATGTCGGAAATAGCAACTGTGCTATTGTGGCGATCTCCGAGTATTCAGCCATAACTTTGTTCCAGTTGTTTCGAACGTACTTTTAAGGCCACACGGATGTAACGGAGAATCCGGTAATTTTTCAAAATAAAACATCTTTCGTATTCCGAAATAAATCAAACGGAATTAAGGCAAGTTCTTTCTGTGCGGCCCGTTACCAAATGCCCTGCGGACCGGTCCAGGTCCGCGGACCGGCGGTTGGGGACCCCTGCTATAGGCTACTACTTTCCCACGCTTTGAACACTAATGCTTTTAATGTGACATGGTTTATCTTTTGACTGATAAGTTTCAAAACAGCAATGGATTTACCCATAGTCTGTCATATCTGACCAATGGAATTACTGAACACATCGCCGTGGACGAAACTGTCTCCGTGCTCCGTCATTCTCAATATTCATCAACCATTCGCAGTTGGATCGCGCACGCATGAGGGAGAGGCGGGCTGCCTGAGAGAGAAATGCTTAAGAAGAAAGTCCATGTGCGTAGCGGTGCGCTTCTGTGTAAATTGAGAGTGAAAAGAAGCATCTTCAGTTAAGTTGAATGAGTGGAGGGAACGAGTGCCATAAATACAGCCATCTATGCAAAGCGACGCCCGTCACTGTTATTCGTTTGGCTACCAACTACCACTATCACTGGCAACAGACGAAATGCGCGATCCACATGGGACACCATGTAGCTACATTCCCTGCGTCTCCCAAACATGTAGGAAAAGGAGTGTCCAGGCTTGTGACAAAAAAGACTGAGAAAGATTCTGGGATGCTACTGTGTAACTAGCTGCATTGAGCATGGTTGGGAGGGAGGCGTCTAGCGGTGTTAAGACAAAAAAAGTTTTTTTAAAAAAAATCCATCTGTGTAACCTATTTCTTTGCAAATATCCCTTGTTACAACATGGAGACGCACGGCTAATAAGAAGTGGCCAATACATGTAGAAATATTTTCACGTGGTTTATTTTAGCTATTGCAATTTTTAATCAAGTGATTTCATAGTCCAGAAATCACAATAGTATTTATTAGACTTCGTGTGATCAAGGTTTTTGGAGTTGATCAAAAATCACCGATCATTGGGTTCGGGACAAAAACAAAAAAAAAAAGATACAGTCGACCCCCGCCATAGCAAAAATAATTAAAAGCCTGAAAAAGTCTTCAAAAATGCTGATAAACATTAAATATACCATGTCATGTTTATAACGTCTCCTCTGATATCATAAAAAAAAAAAATTTAAAACATAAAATGCATGAATATCGGCTGCCATTCAGCTGGCCAGAGCTTTTGCTCAAACTATTGCTATCTTGGTTCAACAGCTGTAAACACGTCTGACTTTCCAACTACACGTTCCTCGCTTCACATTGTGTTCCTGCTAAAGTCCAGATGCCCACAGACCGCAATCATTATTTTGTAGTACTGTTTATGGTTTGTTCACTTTTACCTAGCGTACATGCTGTACGTATCATATGGAATCACGTGGCGAGAATAGCTCACTTCACATTGGATACAAACATCGTACAAATTTTATCTTTCACTAGCAACAGTTTGATGCATCTCAGGACAAAAACTGAGCTACTTTACACAAGAGTTGAAACAAACAATCCGCCCGCCAGCTGGCATCTGTGATTGAGCTGAATGTGCGTGGCCGGAAGTCACGTAACTTATAGAGTGATGAAAGCAATTTTGTATTAAAATTATGTATGTGTTATTAATGTTAGAAATTGTTTGTGTAAGTGTATAGTGCACCCTAAGCGTCCTATACATTACCTTTAACCTTTAACCTACTCTGGCGCGTGACCTGCATCACCTGAACTTGTGAGTTGTCAGCAGTCTGAAATTGCAGCTGTTGCGATATACCTTTTTTTTTTCTTCTTTTAATTCATTCTCATTCCAAGTTTCTGCAATTCGCCGATGGCACGAGCAAAGAATGGGAATCTGGAGCGTGAGGAGAAGCATTTTAAAACGATACACGTGAGCTACGATAGTGATATTTATGCAGTTAACACGCTACAAAAGTGCTTCCGTGTCAGGTCTCGGCTAAGGTAGACAACGATTACTCTTGCATCGACCTTATTTTTCTGTTTCGTGCGTGCGTATGAGCGTGGGTACGCGTGCGTGCGTGTGTATAAGCGTGCACGTGCAGTAACGGGGCAATCGGACGGGGGAATGGCTGTATGAAAGGAGAGATATTTGGTTCAAAAAGGTTGGGCACCCCTCGTCTAGTATTTATATATACTGCAACTTAATTTTACTACTTTTATCGCATTAGAGAAACTGATGAGAGTTTTCAAGCAAAACAAATACAAGCTGTAGAAAGAAGTTTGATTCTTGCTCAGTCCGATAAAACACCAACATCAACACACTGAGCTTGCAATCATGCCATCAGCAGACCACACTCACGCGGCTCCACAAAACAAATGTATAGCCTGATACAGCAAGGCTGCCACTTTCCAAGACAACCGCGAACAATGAAGATCAATAATGCTCACGGAAATGCAAATAATACAATTTAAAATCATCCTTCAAAGTTTGAAGATATGCTAATGCGGTTAAATATGCAGAGCCGGGGGAAGCTTTGCTCACAATGCTGACTGTTGTGGTGGCTGTGTCATTTTCTATAAATAGCAAACAAAGTTCTTACCAGGGCAGGCCACTGTGTGTGTTTCGCCTTGATTCCCTGCAGCAGGCCACCTACTCCTCCACCTGCTCCTGCTCCTCCTGCTCCTTCCTTCCTCTTGGCCCAGACCAGCTGGTGCTCGAGTAGAAACAGCTGGAAATCATCATAGACCTTCACCCACTCTCTCTTCTCCCATTCCTGGTCATCAAATTCCACGTATACCTGCAGTACACAACACAAATAGAGCCAACATCACAAATAAATCCGAGAACATTTGCAATCCTCAATGGCAATATCAATGTAGCGGCGACACGACTTAAATTCCATTCATCCTGGTCAAAGGGTTTTGAAATACACGATGGGTGGATGATGGGAGAAATAAAGAATATGGTGACTTTGAGAGAGAAAAAAAATGACAGAAATCGGAGAAATAAAAAAATGCATTTGCATCATGATAATAATTATTAATGGCGGCCAGCGGCATCATAGCAAAGTTACCCTTATTTAAGCCAATGGCAGAATGACTCGGTCCAATCCAACTAAACATTATTTATAGTTTAATATACAGTAGGACATGGGTTATGTTCATTCCCAAATGGTTCGAGAACTAAATATTGCTTCAGTTCGCCAACAGTCACGGCATCCATGGAACACAGTTGCGAAGAACCTTGGCTTCCTCAGAAAAATAAATTCTCATGTAAGACAATGCACCCAGCAAAAAAAAAAGACCATTGTAGCTTTAGCGCATCTTCAGCACATGACTCGAACCCCTTTAAGAATTTGTGGCTCAGCCCATTCCATCATAAAATTGTGGATGGCGATGTACCTCCAAAATGCAAATTATGGGAGGCAAACATTGCATCCTGAAAAGACATACAAGACAGAAAATATTCTATTCTGCGTTGGGCGTGTTCTAACCTCCATGGCAGAGGCTGCGTCGAACCCCTGAGCGCGATTCACTGAACCCCAAGGGTTCGATCGAACCCAGGTGAAGAACCACTGGTCTGGAGTCTTTAAGCAAAGCCATCGGCTCCTCATTGTAAAGTCACGCTGTGTTCTTTCATTCCCTGGCCTATATAACTCCCTGCTCGCATCCATAGGCAGCGTGAGCGCATGAAACAGAGATCAGCGGGTGCATCTCTCCTCAGTCACCCTCCCCCCACCCCCTCCCTCCGCTGTATGGCACGACTGCAGTCAAACGAGTAATCACACTTAAGCCAGCAGACAGCAGCTACGTCAGTCTGTCCTTTGTTTACTGTTCCTCTCTGCCTCTCCCTGTTTGTTATTACCTCCATCTATTCTTCAGCTCTTCCATTTCTGGGCATTGCACACTGCATCTCCATCTCCTTGGAATACTGATGTGATCAATTATCGGTATTCCCTTCATTCTGTAGTATCGTAGTCAATGACTGCTTAACATGTGGAATAATTGTTTGCGTCTCTGGGCCCTTCAGTTTTCTTTTAGTTTCTGTATTTTTTTTTTAATGAATGAAATGAAGATGAGGATACAGGAAAATAGTATGCAAGGTGGGTGACACACAAAATATATCCATTGTATGTATGTATGTGCTCGAGCATATTTTTCTTAAATAAAAAGGCCAAAAATATTGTGATTGAATTTCCAGAAGACAAAGAAAGAGAGTGATACGACAATGGTGCCCTGCAATATATTGTGCAAAAAGAAGCACAAAGAAACAATCTAAATTAGTGCATAAACCATCCAATGTTTTGATTCTCTCTCCCTCTCTCCATCACACCATGCGGGTGTAAAAGCAAAGGCGCATAGTGTCCTTGTGGGAGTGGACGGGGTTGTCCAGCTTGGATGACAGCTTAGCCATCATCCTCCTGATCCCCGCTGTGTCTCTTAAATCCAGGGTGCAGCCCAGGACAGAGGTGGCTCCCTTCACCTGTTTGTCCATCCTCTTTTTGTCACAAGCAGATCAGCTGCCTGCCTAGCAGACTGCAACCACCAAGTCACAAAAAAATGTGTAAATCTCCTGACCAACACACACAAAAAAAAAAAAAAACCCCGATACACTATGTATAGCTGCACTATTACTAGGGTTGGGCATCAATAATCAATAATCGTGTGGAATTGAAATCAACGTTACGGTTGACCTGTAGAAAATTGTCCGATTTTAAAATGTCGGGACTACATTTTGATTCCGAGTGAGCCGCCGCGTAGCAGAAGCACAAACGATGAAGGACCGATAGAAAATTTGTGTGCGCAGCAGCTCCCGCTGCCGGAACTGCGGCGTGGGGTGCACAGCAGTTCGCGCCAGACGCGCACGGGCCACAGTGGCGACTCTGCATGTGCGCCGGGCTCTTCCCGTGTACAGCACGGTCCCATCCCAGTCATCGGGGCCAAGGGGCAGCAGCTCAGCAGAGGCCCGGGGGACGGCTAAGGTCAGTCAGTGGCGCTGTGCTCCCCGCCGGAAGCCGGTAAACACAAACTTTGATTGTCCAAAAAGAAATGTGCGCAGTGTGCAACAACACCCACATAAAAGTAACATTCTCCTACTCAGTCGAGCATGTATCTTGAAATACTATCGTGCAAAGGAGGTTGCAATTCTAGTGATGATAAGACAACTCTGGACTGTGTTTGCCGCTTTTTTTTGGGGGGGGGCTCAACACAAGTGTAAATGGAGAGCTAATATTTAGCTGAACGCAGACAGCATATACATGTATGCATGCATGCCAAAAAAAACCCCACTGTAAAGTAATATATGTCATGAAGTGGGTTATGTGTGTTTTATCGTTATGAGTTGCCGCTGAGGGGTTGTGGCAAACATGTTACTGTGAGTGCTCCTAATTCCAAGTTTGTGAATGCATCACTCTGTTCGCGAGTGTGGGAATCCGGGAGGGAGGGAGAGAGAGAGAGAGAGCACTTTCTGTGTTTCGGCGTCACTGCAGCCATATGCGAGCTGTGTTTTGTTGTAAAGAAGTGGAAATTTAATGACTTTCTCCCGAGTTCGCTCAGTATTGTTTTCAAAAATATCGTTTAGTATAGCCAAGCAGCAAGCCTTGATGTCAACTATATAAAGTTACCCCTGCCACAAGGCCTCATTAAACACCAAATAGCTCAGTACTGCTCCCGACATTTGACCTAAATTGTCAAACTTGACAGACGTTTTGAACATATTAAAAATAAAGCAAACGAATCAATGTTAGCTTGGGCCAAACAAAAAAGATAGTGTGTTTCAGGTTAAAATGAAATTTAAGCATAGGGTCGGTCGGTAGGACAAAGTTATTATTATTTTTTTTTTTTTAAATCTTTTTATTTTTTTTTCCATCAAAAATTTAAACAAAATAACCAGAAAGCATAAAACATTCTGACTGTTTCGGAACTCAAAACCTGTCTAGTTACACGTTGTAGACCCACCTACCTTGGAGTTTTCTTCTGAAATTCTTTGTTTTTCTCCTTTTCTGAACATGCTGCTTTCATCATGACATCGAATACGTCTACACTTTCTGTTTTTGCCACTGTTTCTTGTGTTTTTTCTATACATCTAAATCAAATCGATCTTAGGTCAGGTAAAGGATTTAAAACTTGAAACACTGACATATCCATATCATCAATGTCATAGAATTCACTGTTGGCACATTGACACTGTGCTATTTTCACATGGTTTATACTCGGTGTTCATCAAATTTTTTCGATACATCAATGGATGCTATTTTCCTAACATTACCATGCGAGCATGCGGCTGTAACACAGAAAACGCGGTTTAAACTGGCGTCGGAGATCGCGGCCGCCGCCATGATTCAATGTTGTTGACAGACGACACGGCAAAAGACGCACGCGCTCAACGTGAATATCGCGAGAGTTTGCACCGATGTAAACCCTTTCCACAAAAATGTACAGGGTTGTTTGAAAAAAAAAAAAACTTTACGGTCGGCATTTTCGATGTAGAAATTCTCGGTCGGCCGCGTTACCGGAAACACACTATTTTTTTTTCTCCGCCTTATCCGACTGTCCGAAGTCACCCCTGGGATGGTTCGGGGAAAATGCATTTGACCATCCACGTAAGTGTGCCCTGCAGACAGCTGGAATAGACTCCAGCATGCCCGCGACCCTAGTGAGGATAAGCATGTTAGAAAATGGATGAATGGATTCATGAAATGACCTTACCAAATGTGTGGACATGTGTGCGCGCGCACCCACGGTGCTGTCTGACATTCACATATGCACATTAGTTCAAGTCCTGCTGTGCTTATAACCTAATCACAATCACCAAGTAAGCAAGCGAATGACTCTCATCATGACCAGTGTGTCAACTGTGGTCTGTCCACATGTCCACATGTGCCAAAACACATTGTGTCAAGCTAAAAAACATACATGCGACAAGAATGATAAAAATGTCTGTTGCTATAGTAACTGGAGGCAGCAGCCAGCAACGGCTTGACACACACACACACACACACACACACACACACACACACACACACACACACACACACACACACACACACTTCAGTACACATTTTCTATCTCCACAGTGAGCAGGTACAACAGAAAGAGAGAACAAAGGAGAATGGAAACTGCCAAGCATTAAACATGGTCAATACCATAAAAAAAACGAAGTAGTAATTGCATCTACCTTACACCTTAATTAGAGACGAGAATGCGTTTTGGAAAGGTGATTTTAAAGTCCAGCCGGAAAATATTTGTTGTGCTTCACTTTTTGTATGTATTTCGTTGTGTTACAACCTATTTACCAAATCTCAGGCAGCCGGTTGTCATCTCTTCAGCATTCTGTTGATTTGTCGAAATGCTATCTGCAAGACAATACTACACTAGCAAATTGAAGATGTTCAAATTTCGGCAAACATGCTGTGTGTGGTTTTTTTTGTTCATGTATTGATCTATACCACAGTGTCAAACTCAAGGCCCGGGGCCCAGATCTGGCCCACCACATCATTTTATGTGGTCCGCGAAAGCAAATCAACGATGTCAACTTTCATGAAGCTCGCTAAAATCTCTTCCAAAATTTCAAATTCTCATTTGTAATAAAGGGTGATCCTGTATGCATTTTCTTGTTACCAAACTCCTCATTTGAATGCAATAATATAAGTCATATGCAGTGACTTTTCTGATACTAATTACAAGGTAACCCCACATAAACACAATCGAATGTTGTTTCATTGGATTTTATTTTCAAACCAACTCAGCTTGACCGATTGCAAAATGTAAAAAAAAAAATAAGTGATATCAAAAGAAG